TATATAACTTCTGTTTCTTCTCCCTTCCATTTTCATCTGAAACATCAACAGGTAAGATAATGGTAAATGTCACTGAACATTTTAAACAGAAATACTTGTATCCAAACTCCAAAATTCTGGCCACAGGGGGAAGATACCTGACCTGAGATGCTGGCCGATTCTTCTTTTCATTGAAGTGCCTGTGCAGTACAAAAACCCCACAGAAATACACAAACAGAGGGCTTTGTTTCTAAATACCTAGAAGTCTTTTGAGAGGTAAAACAATATGATAATTGAACTGCAGTGCATTTCTTCTCCATTGAGGAATAAAACCTAGAAATGTTAATTATACTATCTATCATAAATGAAAGAAGTATTTTCTACACTATGTAGCTAATGGCAAGAATATTTTAGCACTGAGGTTAGAAATGTATTTGAAATTTTTAGGAAACTTAAAAAAATGCAATTCTATTTTCAGAAGGAAAGGTAGAACTACAAAAACATATACTATTTTTCATTACCCTAGAAAATACAATCTTTGACAATACCCAGGCTGTGCTTTTCCTGGTTTCAGGTACTCTCTTGTTTAACATTTAAAATTTTGTTTACAGTAATATTACCTCAACATAATTTTATTTTTTTTTCACTGTGAATTTTTATTGGGATTTTGAGAACAAATCTGTCTCAGCCGGAAAGGGGAGGGAAGACTTACTTTGCTGAAGACTTCCAGGGTGCCTCTCAATTCCATCAGATGTATTTTATGTGATACTGGCTCAAAAGTCAGTAAATACATCCTTTCCTTATCCTAATCCAGGTTTGTGAGTCATTAGAGAGACTTTCAGGAGCCAAGACAGAAAGGTGCAGTTAATATGTTTATTCAAAGAAAACATTTCTAAAATGGCAGAAAATAATAATGTATGGAAAGAGATGGAGCCCACATGCTACATGCCATTTTGTGGTGATTACATTTAGCAGCAAGCGCTGGGGGCACAGAGTTAGAGGTCCCATGCCTCCAGTGGTGATGCAGCCTACTGGGCTGCTTTGATGATGACATATTCAAGTGTATGGGCCTCTATGAGTGACCAGCATAGGGGGCACCTGGAGGGGTTGCTCTGCTAGTTTTGAAGGCATCACCACCAAAAGCTGCTTTGGGTGGCAGCGGCTCCAGGGACTCCCCAGCTGTGACCCTGAGAGTGTCCCACAGCAAAGCAACAGGGCCCTGAGCACAGGAGCCTCTTTATCTGGGAGCTGAAGCAAAGGGGGAATGGTGGCAGTGGCTGAGGTGATGCCTTCTTTGCAATGTGAAGTAATCCCATGCCTGTCTCTTTCCCCGCTTCCCGGAGGGGTGTCCCTCATCTGTTCCAGAGATGTAGGGATTCAGGTGTGGAACAGCTTCCACAAGGCAGAGCATATTTGAGGGCGAGGCAGAAGCCATGTTTTCATCAGAACAGAAAAATACTAGAGGAAGCATCCTGCTTGCTGAAATGTGTTAAAAGAGCTCTAAAAGTTAATTAAAAATCGTTCTGTGGTAAGCTTGTAAGGTCACCGTTTTACAAACGTGCCAGTGCTCCTAGGAAACTAATGTTGCCAATTACTGTGCCGTGGTTCACAGCATATCCCACAGGGAGGTATAGGTATACTGGTCCTCCCAAGAGGATGCTGCACACACGGTACAACCTCCAGGGCCATATCAGACCTTAGGCCAAACACCAGAACAAGGCAGCTCAGATGGGCTCACAGGAACCCCGCGCTGTCAGAGCAGCTGGATAGCTGGATGGGCACTGAAAACAACTGACCAGCCCCAGCACCTCTGGCAGGGCGGGAGAGGACACGGACACAGGACTGAAGTAGTCCTATAAGATGGGCCTTGAGTGTCACCCCAGCAAAGGCATAGATCACAGGGTTCAGGCAGCAGTGGATGAAGGAGATGGCTTCCGTCAGCTGCAGGGCCAGGGCTATCTGGTAGCTCGTCTTGCAATCATTGATGATGTGCAGACTCTGCAGAGAGTCTAGGAACAGCACGATGTTGAAGGGAGTCCAGAAGAGGAAGAAAACAATGATGATGATGAAAATCATCTTGATCGCCTTGGTCTTGTTCCGATTTTTGCATTTTTGCAGGTTTTTCAGTATCTGGGTGTAGCAGCAAATGAGGATGCTAAGAGGAATCAAGAGGCCTAAGATATTGGCTGAAAACTGAGAAGCAATCTTCCAAGTATTGTCTCCTGGGGGGTATGTGGAGACACACTGCAGAGACTGCTCAATTTCCAGCTGCTGGTTGAACATGATATTGGGTACAGAAGCCAAGCCAGCCACCAGCCACAGGATTAAACTGATAATTATGCCAAAAGAGGCTGTCCGTACCCTCACGGCATAGGCAGCATGGACAATTGCTATGTACCTGTCTATGCTCATGAAGGTTATAAAGAAAATACTGCTATAAAAACCTATGTAATAAATGCCAGCCATTATCTTACACATAGTGTTGCCAAAAACCCACTGGTCTGAAGCGTAGTGGGCTTGGAAAGGGAGAGGCACAATGAAGAGGAGATCAGAGGCCGCGAGGTTAAGCAGGCAGATGTCAGTCATTGTCGTCAGCCTTTTCCTGGTCAGGAGAACCCAAAGGACCAAGGAGTTTCCCAGAAGGCAGATGACAAACACAAGGCAGTAAAGGATCGGCAGAAAGAGGGATTTGAACCTGTGAAAGCTGTTTCCTTCATTGCACGGAGCAGTGTCTTCATCATATCCATAGTCATATTCTGTTGTGCCAAGGAACTGGCTTGTGGGATTCATCTTGGACACCTGTGCAGGAAAGAGTAAGAGATAAATGGCTGGCTGTCCTGGCACAGGACTCCCAGGATGGCTTCTGTCTCTCTCTGTGCTGCATCAAGCACGTGGGTCAGCCTCCAGGCAGAGAGGGACTGCAAAGTGCAGTCTTGGTCTCACTGGCTGGACAAGAGCAGCTCTACCACCCAAAAGGCTGCACCCTCAGCCTGCCAATTCTTCCTATACATCCATAAGTGTGAGCACTGGGATGCTCTTGGTTTCCCTGAAACTGCCTCAGTCCCAGTGAGTTAGCCCCTCATCATTATAGTGACAACAAAAAATTAATGCTCTGAATAGTCGTAATGGTGCAAAATGGTACCAAACCTGCATCTGATCTAAGAATCTGGATTTTCTTGTGCTCCCTGGGGTGAAGAAGCTTTTGGCCTGTAGCATAAAGACCCTTATAAAAGTGTCTTGACTGAAGAAACCATCACCCAGCAGCATAACCACATTTTTAACTTAGCTGATCAAGGCTGGATACTGAATGCAGAAACATGTAAGCTGTTTTCCCGCAGGTGGGTGCAGGATGGCATACAAAAAAACCTCTGCAGCAGCAGGGAGTTTGCAGGGCTACACAGCAGCAGTTGCAGTGCCAAGCTCTGGGCTGCTGCAGCGAGGCTGCCGCTGCCCTCCAGGTTACCTGGTGAGGAGCTTGGCTGTGCCTATTGCTAAAACACAGCAGTTTACCACTCCTGCCTGTTCTGCCAAACTTCAATTTGATAGTTTAGAGAAGACCAAAAGAATCTGGGGGGGTGTTTCCTCTCTGTCATTTCTGAAGGAATTGCAATGAAAATAGCTTTAGAATAGCCTGACATGCTGTCCAAAAGTGAGTCAGTGCTTTAGCACCCTTTTTTTTTTTTCTTTTTCCAGATATCACTTCATGACCCCTATAACAGGGGATCTGGTTTGCAGAGTTAGTTGTTCACATTTTAAGAAGTAATGGTTCTTTCAAAGGAGTTTGTCTTGCCCCTGCTAAGACATTTGCATGTTTATTGTGCACTGCACCTATGTAATGCTTGCATACAGGTTGATCACATCTTGAAAAAGCTTCAAAGACACAGAGTTTCCAGGAGGAAAATAATCATTGTAATTGTAATAATCATTGCTATTAAGCCGTAGCAATAATATGAATGGCGGTAATTAATTCATTAAAAGTAGAGAACATGCTCTCCTGAGTTAAAAACTGCTCCTTGGATATACAAAAAGAGAGGGAACGGTAAAAATTTTCGTATTGATGAGGAAGGAATCAGAATTCAGCCCTTCTTGCCTGGCTGTGCCACCTTGTGCAGGGAAACAGGAGGATCCATACGCACGGCACAGAGAGGTGCTGGAGTCAGCGTGCGTCCTCTGCTGCAAGTATGGATGCTGCTCACGCCAAACTAGCCTGCTTCTGCTTTTCTTGGGGCACCAGGGCTGTTTATACCAAAGTCAATTGGCATGTGCAACACAGAGAAACCTGTTAGAAGTACAGCACTCAACCCTACGGAGTTCCTTGTTCAGAAATAATGAGTGATGAGAGAAAAGCAGTGCCACAATCTATGTTGATAGTATAATTCTTTCCTAAGTTTAGTTTTCAGCTGCATTATTAATTTCAGCTTTGTTTTCATGCATAAACCCCTAAATATTGAGATGTTGAGTCACTAGATATTGGCTGTTCGTGCAGCAACAGTTATAGGTAGAAAATATTTCCTGCTAATGCTTTTGATGTGTGACCCCAACTTGCTGTGACTGTAAGCATTGCAGCAATGGCTTGCTTTTCTTAGTTGCCTGTCGGGGACCCCTTAAAAGCAGCCCACAGATTCAACAACCAAAAGTAGAAAATAAAAAAAAAAAGAAAGAATACCATGTTATATAGGTATATAGATATATAGATATTTAGATATATAGATATAAATACATAGATATATAGATATAAATACAGATACATAGGTTTATAGATATGATGCATCTGATTTTGACAAAATTCAAGTGTTTTTCCTGGCCTGAAGAGAGACTGGAGAAGCTCTACTTCAGACTTTCAGACCAACTTTACACCATTAACGCCTTTGACAGCTTCCGACCAGGGCATAGCATTTTCCATTTTCTCCCCTCTCCATATCAGTTGGCAAAACAGTCAAACTGAAAAAGCAGTTTTCCGGAGGGTATCAGAAGAGAGATAACTGCTGCAGGTCCCTTTCCCCTGCTTGCTTAAGTTAGCCCATTACTTTTAAGAATAGCCCATTAAATGTGGATGGACTTTACCTTTCACAGTAAGAAGCCTCTACTCTCTCAGTTTGCCCCGGTTGCCTTCTCCTTCTACTGTGTCCTTGTTCTCTCTTGGGTTTGGGAGTTTCCAGGAGGTTTACTCCATTACTTGTGGAGACGGTTGAGATTGAGTGACATGCGGGTGTCGAATGGGCAGCTGCCGGTTACAGAACAGGTTTTGAGACAAATTGAAGGTTTTGTAGCTGCAGTAAACAGGAAAAGAGGTGAGAGGGCTTACAAACAGATTCTGTGCAGCAAAAATAAAATACAGCTCTTTTTGAAGACAGTAAAGGTAGCACATGAACAGGCGTTCTCCTTTTAATGCATTTACTAAACCCCCCTTCCTCTCCGCCACCTCTGATTTAAGTGAAAAATGTAAAAGTTCAGATGTCTCCATCACAGAACACACCCTAACAAATTTGCAACTTTTTACAGAAGCTGATATATCATTTCCGAAACGCATTATTTCAGTTTTTCATTTCCTTCAGCTAATATCAACTTGCATACCGTAGTCTGGTTATGTCCCTCCCCATTAGTAATGTATTACCTTTCCTAGCAAAATAAGAACTCATAGCTACTGATACCTCTTTGTAATCAGCAGCTCTTATTCAAATGGAGATGTTTCAGAGTTTCTTTGCTACTTGGGGTTTTTTAAAGTATATTTTAGTACATTTAAGATACATGGTCAAGGACAAAATATTAAAACAAGGACAGGCTTGAAATTTTTTATTTCAGTCAATAACTTTAAATTATTTTTGGTTTGTTTAATACTGTAAACTGTGGTGCTTTGTAAGTCAGCCAAACGATATGATTTTCATCCATTAATCTCAACAAGCACCATTTTCCTGATTTATAGGAGTACAGAGAACACAAGAGATTTGCCTGAGAGCCCCAAAGAAGTATGTGGCAGATCCAAAGCGTGACTGTTATTCAAGTTATTAACCTGTTCTTTGGTAGCAGCTAGCAGCTCCAATCCAAAGTAGCTTTCCAGCTTGCTGGCTGTTGCTTAAACGAATAGTGAAAGACAGTCCCAAAGAAAAAAAGAGCTAAATACTGCAAGCAGACCAAAAAACCAAACAAAGTAACAGAGTTAAGGACCTGGCACTAGTGAGTAGTGCAGCAGAAAGAAAAGAGCTGTCCCTTGAGGTATTCAAAATGCTACCAATGACCCCGGCATCACTGCACCTCCAAGTACCCAGTTGGTCACATTATGTAAGAGAGATCAGCTCCTCTTTTTTTTTTGTTTTGTTTTTGTTTTTGTTTTTTTCTTTCATGATTAACTTTTGCACATTGTTGTAGTAGAACTTTATTTTAGTCTATTCTCTCAATATAAACTATATGATTAATAATACGTCAGTAGTATGTCCTGCTGTTACAGACATACAATACAACATAATGTAACTCCATTCTACTTAGTTTTTTGTTTAGAGATCAATAAGGTCAGCTTTCATTATTTCTTATGATCAAAACGTCAGTCAATTAAAGATGCTCCCTTTTCCATTGGATGCTTTTTGCATAGTTTGGCTGAAAAGGAAAAACACATGTTAAAAAATTAAACAATAGTTTGACTTGAAACTGATAAAAGAATGAAAGCCTCTGTTAAAAATATATCTGCATTTTAAAACATCTAAAATGAAAAAATAAAATCTTTGTTTTTCTTTTCTTGAGTTATTTTTTGTTGTATGTATTATGATTTTGCAGAAAGACTTCAGTTCTTTCAAAACGTATATTTTTTAATTGGGAAATCTTCCAGCCACGTATTTTCACCAGCTGCAATTCTGCACGGCCAGGCAAAGCGAAGCATGAATCTGGGAAAGTGCGCCAGGGAAGTGACAGAGGAAATGCTGTGTGCATTGGAGAAAGCTGAAGCAAGCAAGCAAGAAGATCCAGAGGACCTTAAAGACAAGAAAAAGAGCTTGATTTCGAGTGAAAAAAAGATAAGACACAAGTGAGCAGGCCTGGTGACTGCCATGGCTGGAGGACAGCTGGCCACTCTGCTTTGGGCAGAGCAGAGCAGACTGCGCTGGGCACATGGGTAACAGCTTGGAAAAATTGTGGTGGTGCCAGTGTTTTGGAGGGAAACGGCAGAATTACAGAATCTGATGTAACATTTCCAAGAGCAGCTTTGCTGTGTTTTGAGAAGTGATATACACATGCGAGTCCCTAGCTTTCCGGAAGTTTTACGTTCCTGCGGTGCTTCTGGGGTGGTCAGTGTTCCTGACACACGGCTGTCTCCTGAGCTTTTCTCAACAGAGGAAGAAAATTCATTAAGGGCGACGGAGGATGTTATTTGTCCAAGATGGTGAAAGGAAGGGAGTGGAGACAATTTTAGGAGATGACAAATACGGTTTTGGAAAGGTGCTGTCCCTGGCTGGCAGGTATGAGGGTGGATGGGAGGGGAGGCCCGCAGCACAGGGGTGGGCTTGGGAACAGTTGGCTGAAAGGGTGATAATTATAATGAGGAAAACTAATGGGAGATGCCTGGGTTGGGGGACAGAGAAGAACCGGAGGCAGATTGTATTCTTTTCCCCCTGCTTAACCCTACTCGCTCTTCTACAGGTCATTTGAGGAGAGCGTGGGCAGACAGAGCACTGCTGGGCTGGAGGGAGGTAGAGACAAATAAGCACTGGTGTGTTCACAGATGTGGGGTGCTGCAAGCTGTAGGTATGCTAAACGTCCCTTGAAAGCTCACAGGAGGATATCTGGCGGCAGGGAGAATGAGAGGTACGCAT